CCAATAAAAACAAAAATCATAAATTGTACAGATTTTATGCTGAATATAAGATGTCACACAAAAAAAGAACATTCTGTGATTCCATTTATGAAGTTCTCAAAAAAACTAACCAAAGGAGAAAAAAATCAGAACAGTTGATTACTGAGCCACAGAATAAGAAGCAACACAAGGAAAACTTTTGGATAGACAGAAATGTTCCATATTGAGATGGGTGTGGAGGTTTAAGAGTTTATCTGTTTGTCAAAATTATACAGCTAAGACTTGTACATTTCAATGTATGTAAATCATAACAAAAAAAGAACTGTAAAAATTATATCTTATAGAAATGTGGTATATGGTAAGGAATGGCAAATAGATAAGCATTAAAATTGTCCAATAGGCCAATACCATTCATTATTCTATATTGTTCACTTTATTTTTTGTGTGTGTGGTAAGAACACAACATGAGATCTACCCTCCCAACAAATTCTTAAGTTTGTAATACACTATTGTTGACTATAGGTACAATGATGTACAGCAGATCTGTAGAGCTTATGCATCTTGTTTGACTGAAACTTTATGCCTATTAATTAGTAACTCCCCATTTTTACCTCCCCTTAGCCTGTGACAACCACCATTCCACTCTTTGATTCTATGAATTTGACTATTTTAGATACCTCATGTAAGTGGAATCATGCAACATTTGTCCTTCTGTGACTGGCTTATTTCACTTAGCATGTCTTCAATGTTCATCCATGTGGTCGCATATAGCAGATTTTTCTTCTGTTTAAAGGCTGAATAGTATCTCATTTCATGAAGATACCAAATATTTTTTTACCCATTTATCTGTTGTTCTATATTGAGATTTGTTCCACATCTTGGCTGTTGTGAATAGTAGTGCTAATATCTCTTTGAAATTCTGATTTCAATTATTTTGGATAAATATCCAGAAAGAAGACTGCTGGATCTTATGGTACTTCTACTTTTAATTTTCAAAGGAGCCTCAAACTTTTCCATCGTGGCTACACCATTTTGCATTTCCACCAACAGTGTACGAGGGTTCCAATGACAACATTTATCCCTTTTTTCTATGAGGTAATAACTCATTTGGTTTGGTTTGCATTAATTTGAAAATTAGCAACAATGAGCATTTTTTTCATATACATCTTGGCCATTTACATGTCTTCTTTGGAGAAATGTCTTCTCAAGAACTTAGCCCATTTTTTAATTGGGTTATTGGTTTTTTTACTATTGAGTTGTGTGAGTTCCTTATATATTTTAAAGAAGGCTACTTGAAAAAAAGGTGAGGTAAAAGCCACACTACAGGATGTTAGAGTACAGTACACTGTTGCTTTTAGGAGTAAACCATCCAACTGAATGTATTAGCATTGCCTGCTATATAAAAAGAAAACATAAAATGCTAGTCAAAATACACAATAAGGTTAGGCAAATAGAATCCCAATTAATCAAACACATAATAATTATTTAAGGACCTTAGAGCAAGGTGAATATTTGGCAGGCCAACTACCAAATAAAACAAGGTTTATAACATAGTTTCTTAACAGTGAAAGGTATTATAACTCTAAGTGATGTTTTCTGGTCTTCATTCAACCACCAATTCTCTCCAACTGTGGGGCAGGTTATTTAAATTCTAGACCTCTGCATTTAAAATAACAATTGTTACACATTTCAATAGAAAACTAAAGTCATGTTCTCTTTTTCCAAGAAAGATGTCAACGTATTACTTATATCATTTTTCTCCAGTACCCATTAAGTAATATATTTTTATCTTCCTTTTACCCATTAAGTAATATATTTTTATCTTTTTTAAATAATACAGTTTCTCCTTAAAAACATCTATAAGAAAATTTTCCCACCAATTGTTTCCCAAACTTTGTATTTGGGAAGATAATCTACATTTATAGCAAACCAATTATAGCGAAACACTCTATTGTTCATAAATCAGCAATGTTTAACACAGAGAAAAAGACAATTTGTTGATTTAATTATAGCAATTCAAATGATATTTTAGCATGAAATATTTTCTCCTTTCATTTTTTCTTTCATGCTCCATTATTGCTGAATTTCAAAAATACTAATGATGTGATGATTTTTTTAAAAGACAGCTTTTCGAGACACTGATAATAATAGCTGACATTTCAAAGCATTTTGTGATTTACACAGCTCTTTAACATAGATTGTCTCGTTTAATTATCATATCATTCCTTAGGAGTTAATAATATTATGTATAATTACTCCCAGTTTAGCAATAAGAAAATTCAGAGTAACTCAGAAAACTGAGTTAAATAAGTGACAGCACTTTGGAAGCCAGATCTTTGAACTTTAAGTTCAGTACTCCTTCCATGGCAACTCTCCCCCCAGATAAATATTAACTTTATAGCTATATAATTTCTCTGATTTTCCTAGACACATCATTAAATGCCACCAGTATAATCAAGGACAATATATGACATCTGTAAACTGATTCTTTTTGCATATAATATATTAATTATTGTTAGTAAAGTATTCTACATTTACAACTATCTTACCTTAAGCAATAGTCTAATCCTAAAAAGGCAAGTGTTAGGTCAAATTCCATAAAGGGAATCTCACGTTTACACTAACTGCTAATGGAAAAATGCCCTCACAAGTCAAACTGAAAAACTTGGGTGATGAAACATTACAATTTGGAGCAATCTTGTGACATGACAGATGTAGTTTGGGAAGTGTTTTAAAACTTCATTCTCCATTTTCTGAGACTTCATCCGTAGAACTAGTCTAGAGGGATGTCACGAAAAGGTGTTGTGTGAGCACAATGTGCTCAATGTTTACTCAACAAAATAAATATTAAGCATCTACTAATGGTCAAGTGGCTTTCTTTCAAATTTGCCATGTCAAGTAGATTAGAGCAAATTAATATTTTCCTTTTCTAATTTATTAGATGTTAAATTATATTGAATGAGATATATTTGAGAAATAACCATAAACCATTGAAATTAATCTATAATCTGATACTTTAGTAAACACAAACAAGAGACATTGTATTTGAGTGATACCTGTTTTAATCATGGCTTCTTTTAACATTAAATTAATAATTTTCATGGTTAATATTTTTGATTATAGCTATTAAATATGATATTCAATAAACAACTGGTAATCCACAATGATTATTTAATATCACTGGACAAAATCTCATTTTATAAAGAGGCTGTATCTATTCAAAAGAAAATTAGCAAACTCAAGCAATAATCCAAAGGAAATCAGAAACTGAAACAGTGTGTATGTCAGGCAGCACTGTGAACAATTTGCTGTATCAAATTGCCAGTGTATCCATTAGGTGTATGTAAAATCACAGTGAGCATCAGGGCAAAGGGTGCAAACTACTTCTGAGAAACAGAACCAAGAACAGAGAGAACACTGCTTCTAGTTACATATCATTCCTGTGAATCATACACTCTATGTAAAATGTAAAATTCTAAATAGCACATCCTTAGATAATACAAAATTTGTATATCTTGTAAAAACATTTGTACAAGTGCATGTAATAATAAATGATTATACAAATTCTTTTATGTATTGCAACCTTTTAAAAGTAGTTTATTTGAAACATTTCCCCCACTTTGCAATGCAAAGTCAAGTTTCTTTACATTAAACTTTTTTTTCAAAAATCTTAAAAATATTATGTCCTTGAGTACAAAACTATGCTATCTACCCTAAGGAAATCATTGTGCAAGTATATGCATGTATTGAATCAATCAATACACCGTACCCCACAAATATGTACAAGTAAACGTAAAATATTTTGAATAAAAAATTATGTCTCTATATGCTGGCTCAGTTAATCTAATTTTAGTTTTAATATGATTTTTAAACAGAAAAAGCCCTTCCTTAAATATATTTAATAGAAATAAGTAAAACGTAAACTCTCCTCCATATCTAAGCATTGATTTTTCCAGTATAGCATTGTCTCAGATGAGTAGATTTACTCCAAGTCAATACATTCACCTATTTCTTTGCTAGAACATCACTGGTTGTTTATCTAAAATTGTTCACCAAAATTGCATGTCTTCCATTAATTTTAGAAAGAAAGATGTGGAGAGATTTGGCTTCTAAATGTTTAAGTGTCTCCTCTGTGCATAAATTCACGCCAGGAAATTACAGAACAAAGGGTTCTTTAAAGGAATTTTTAAAACTTTTTAGAATAAAAATTATTTTCATAAAAATGTATTTATCATATATTATTGAATGTAAAAGCAAGTTACAGAATATGACATAAAGCATTATTACAGTTTTTATGTAAAAGTTACACTCAAATATGTATATATGTATTGAGAAAAGTCCAAAAAGATATCCAACAAAATGCTAACACTGGGTGACGAAATTATAGATAGTTTTATATTTTATTTTTTAAACAGACTATATTTTTTAGAACAGTTTTAGTCACAGCAAAACTATTCAGAGGGTACAAAGATGTCCCTTAAATCCCTTGTCCCCATGCATGTACAGTCTTCCCCATCAAAGGGGTACATTTGTTATAACTGATGAACCTAAATATCATTATCACCCAAAGTCCCTACTTTACTTTTTTCCTTTTGGTGAATTTTCAAATTCTAAAATTCCTTTACTAGGAATAGACTAGCTCCTTCCTTCCTTCTCTGCTTTCTACAATTTTATTACTATTTCATAAATTAGTTATCCTCACAGGAGAAAATTTCACAAACCATAAAAAGATTATCAAATACATAAGCAAGTGACTGTCGTATAACAAATTTACCATCTCCTACACAACCTCCTGCATTCCATTCTCGTTACAAATGAATTGCATTTGTGAGGGTTCTGGTCATCTGTTCAATTAACTTGTTAGTGAAGCTTATAACATTCTTTACAACTAGAACTTAAATATAATTCAGTTCTCCAGAATTAAAGCTCTAATACATAACACATATCAGCCTCATTTAACACTTTACTTTTAATTAGTCCAAAATAAGAAGAAAAAAAATGTCATTTAAAAAATAACATACTCAGCTGCCTGTTTGTAGTGCTTCAAGTCCTTCTTTAATTTTTTGTTCTCATTTTCTAAAAACATAATCTGAGTGTAGACATCTGGAACATTCCCAGCAGCTCTAAGTTCAGTTACTCCTTTCTGTATTAACTCATACCTAGAATAAAATCAAACAAAAGGCTTTATGTTGTTTTTTTTCCTATCAAATTGACTTAAATTATGTACAATTCAAAAAGTATCAGGAAATTTTATAGTAATTGGTTGCTATATTATATTTATAAATTAAAATGTCAATGTTCATAATATATTTTAAAATAAAATATGAATGAATTGCTAGGTACTAATATCATCATAGTTTATCAGATATAACTGAACATCTCTTTTGTTCATGCTCTGGTCCAGACACTGATGAAGTTGACAGAACTACCCGAGTGCCTATCTCATGGATTTCCATTCCAGCAGGAATAGTGATAAACTCTATTTAGTAAAATAAAGAAGAATACGAGGAATAGAGAGTGAGGTGGGGAGACTGGTGGTGGTGTTTGTGCTATTTTATACAGGACAGTCATGACTGACAAAGTGATATTTGAGTAGAGACCTGAAGGAGATGAGGGACTGTGCCATGTGGATCTCTGGGAAGAGGAGTATCCAGGGCTGGAGAAGTAAAAGCAAAGGCCCTGAGACAAGGAAGTATTTGGCATCTACAAGAAAGAGCAAAAATCCAGCATAGATGGAATAAATGGAGCTGGAGCCAGTTAAGTGAGCAAGAGAAAGCATGGTGAGAATAAGTCAGGAAGACAGCAGGGCAGCAGGAAGCCAGGATGAGAAAAGTGATTTTACTCTGAATCAGAATGAAGCCATAGGAAGGTTTTGAGACAAGTGACAATGATCATATTTAGGTTTTTAAAGGATTAGTCTGTTTGAAGAAACAGACTCCAGAGAAAAAAGCATATGTAAAGCTAGGCAACCATGCTAATTGTCGTGGCTCTTTTACTTACTGGTAATCCTGCACCAACTGGGCCAATGGTTGAGCTAGGGGTGGGTCTGGAGCCCACAGACCCCTCAAGCCCATTCACAGACTGGGTCACAAACCCTTCACATCCCAGGCTGGGTCATCAGACCCCACACACGCCAGGCTGGGTCACCAGACCCCTTCACGCAGGTCTATGAGTTGGGTAACCAGCCACACGGTCCTTGGAAGCTGCAGGGCTAGAAAAAACATGGCTGGACAGGGAAGACACCCGAGGCAGTAAACATCAGCCAAAGCGGTGGCCACCTTGCAGGTGCACTTACTCCACCCATACACAAAATGTGACCGAACAACCCTGAACTGGCTCTGAGACGAGGGGAGCCTGACCAAATTGTTCCATTTTCCCAACAGTGTAGAACCAGAGAGATCAGTTAACCAGCCACTGCAATAGTCCAGAAGAGAGAAAATGATGGCAGGAACAAAGTTTATAGCAGTGGAGGTTATAAGAAGTTGGTACCTTCTGGGCATGCTTAAATGTACAGCTGATACAGCTCTCCGATGGATCAGCTGTCAGGTGTTGATGAAACAGAGAAGTAAAAGATGACCCCAAGGTTTCTGGCTGAGCAACAGAAAGCTGGGTGGCTAGAGGAATCAAGAAATAGTTTCCACTCATGTTAAATATGATATGTCTAGCAGACATTTGAGTGAAGATGAATGTCAGTTATACATGCTCAGAGTTCAGGGAAAAAGTCAGGGTAGGCAATCATCAGTATATCGATACTATTTAAAGTCACGAGACTGCAAGAGACCAGCCAAGCAGTGAACATAAAGAAAAAAATGAAGAAGTCCTAGGAGTGAGCCATAATACACTCCATAGTTTCAAGGTTGGAGAAAAAATGGAAACTCTACCAAAAGAAACTAAAAAATAAAGGCCAGTGATGTAGTGGGAGAATATGAGAGAAATGTGGCCCAGGGAAGAAGTGAGGAAAGTGTTACAAGAAGGAAGGAATGAGCAACAGTGACCAATGCTACCAGGAGATTGAAAAAGAGTACTGAGAATCAATAACTGAACTTGGCAATGTGAAGGTTACTGAAAAAAAGGTTCAGTAGAGTCATAGGGATGAAAGCCAAATTACAGCAGGTATGATGGAGGAGGAAATGAGAAACTGGCAACAAAGTTTTTCAAGGAGATATACTATAAAGCAGAGCCTAGGAAATCAAAATATACTTAGAAGAAAATTTTGAGTCCAGGGTGTTTTTTTTTTTTCCTTTTGTGAAATGTAAGATACTACTGTAAATCTATATGCTTATGGGAATGACGCAGCAGAGAAGGAAAAAACTGACAATGCAGGAAAGGGACAATTACAGGAGCAATGTATTTGAGTAGGTGAGAGGAGCTGGGATCCAGTAGACAAGAGGAGCATTGGCCTCAGATGACAGCCTGTATGGTTCAGCGTCTGTGACAGGACAGAAAGAATGCCTGAGGACAGATGGAGCAGGTTGGTAAAGAGGGAGGTGGGAGGCATGGAATTTCTATTTTCTCATCAGAGAATCATTTATAGATTGTAAATAATTACAATTTTAATCACTGTATTTAGCAATCAATGAAGCTAAATAAAGAACTATTTGAGCATAGGAAAATATTTCAAGTAATAAATTTATTAACAAAGAAACTCCTACAAAGCTTGCTCTAGATGAGCTAAATATTAGAGTTTAATTATCAGTATTTTCATATTATAAATCATAATTTTAGAGTTTAATTACCAGTATATTCATATGACGAATTATGTTTATAAATATATTACATATTAATAAAGTCATATATTTTTGTGTTTTATACCTTATGTAATATTTTAGAAACCAGCAAGGGACCCCTGTAGAATATCTTAAAGGTTAATATAATTAAATATTATGTAATATTTTCCATAATTTATAAAACAGCAAATAGATAATCATTTAATCATATATTCAGTATATTATACATATTTAGAAAGTGATTTATAGTAATCTCAAAAGAGAAGACATAGGGATGGATTGAAGTATTGGACCATAAAATTGGTTTTCAGCAACTTGCTTTATTTAGTGCAGAAAAAAATCACTGAAACAATTATTTCTATAAGGAAAAAAAGAGATTTACTAAATTAAATACTATGCAAATAAAATAACATGTGGTAAAAGAAGTACAAATCAAAACATAGCATATATTATATCACATTTATCTTAGGACATTCAAAAATCATTTATCATGCAAAATTTCTGCCATCATTGTAAAATTATGACAGATGAGTTTAAACTCACAATTAGATAATACTATAAGTAATTGGGAATCTTGATCTACAAACTCAAGAAATATATCTCTCAATAAAACCCACATTCTCCTACATAAGACTTTTTAAATTTGTTTCAGTTTTGTGTGTATGTGTTTTGTTTTGCTTTAAGAAATATCCTGGCCTTTTTATTTCTTCCTTCTTATTCCCTCACCCTTAGAAGAAGACTGAAAAGTGTATATGTAGGAAAAAAATATTGTTTTAACTGTTAGAAACTTGTAATAAAATTTACTCCCAACAAAATTGCCAATAAAAGTATTGCCAATAAATTACATAACTATTTTTAATACAACATTTACCATAAGTTCCATAAACTACTTAGAAATAAGGTCTGTAAACAACTTATGTAGAAATGGAGAATGTGTATGCATTTCAAGGAGAAAACACATAGGGTGTTTACAAGACTTATCTATATTCCAAGTGAGTTTAAGACCCACTGTCACAAATGATGAATAGAATGATAGAATTCCTGTACACATACAAATGGCGTCAGAAGAGTAAGGACTATTTTTATACCTTCATGATGGCACTCAACGCATAGGATGTAGAATTCAGGGAAAAGGTTATCTATCTAAATAATAAAAAGCATCAAATGAGAATTTTTCCTCCATGTTTTCAGAGAGAGTTAGGGAAATATTTTACCACCAATGACAAAATCCTTTTAATTACCACCCAAACATAGGATGCTGGAATCCCCAGCACCACCACGACTTATCACTGCAGAAGCAGAGTACTCATGGGAAAAATGTAGTACAGGTGAAAAGGTTAGTACTGTCCTCATGATTCCTCAAGCTGGTATGGAAAATCGGAATGAATTTGGATTCTACATCAAGTTATTCAATTTCTTTCAGTCTTTAGCCAAGCCATAAGGCACCTTTATTAGATTAAAAACTAGGTTAATAATTAATTTAAAAATTAATTAAAATTAATTATTTGTTTCCAAGATTCCCTTATATAGTTACACAATACAACATTGTGATTAAGATACTGATCTTTATGATCAGTCTGGCCTGGGTTAACTCTGCTACGTACTGGCTGTGACTTGCTGAAACTTAGTGAGGCCTCCATAAATCCCTTTCCTCATCAATAAAATGGAAATATGATAGTGCCCACCTGCTACATACAGTTGTTAGTATAAGTAAATGAAAAAATGCATGAGAACATACTTTACCTATAAAATGATACAAGGTAAATTTCTAAGTGATAAACCTAAAGCATCATCATCTTAAATATTTTTAAATCCTTCACATTATAAACACCATATTAATTTTGTTTAAAACATTTAAGTTAAATACTCACCTACAAGGATGCCTTCTTGATATCAAGGTACATAAATCTATGGAGATATACGAAGGGACTTCAAAAAGTTCATAGAAAAACAGAATTAAAAGATAATATGAATCTTTCCATGAACTTTTTGAAGTACCCTCATATCTACGGTGCTCAAATTTAGCATACTGTGGCTTGATAAAACTTAGCATTAAATAAGAGTTCCAACATTCCTGTGTTTAACTTAATACTGATTGGGGAAAAAAATTTTTACATGACACGTAACCGGAAGCCAACTCCTCATCAATTCAAAAAACAGCAATAGGTTTAAATGATGAAGGAACAACTAGTTGTGTTGTGTTCATTGAGTCAGTAATGTATACACAACACCACACAGACTTCCTTCACATACTGGGCAACATAAGGGTTTTCTCAATGGTAATTTCAATTCCAGACTCTGGCTTTAAAACCTAACTGTCCCCAGAAAGTTGTAACTGCACTGCCCACATTCGAGTAATTAAATATTATATCAAATGTTACTGGCTAAAAGCTGTAATATTTATCTTTTTTGCAAATTATAGAAACACAATCCTAATTTGCAATCTCATCTATAATTAATAAAAAATTAAATTAATAATTAAATGTTACAAATAATTGCACTGTTGCCTTTGACAGCATTTTTATTAACAGTCTACCTTCAGTGAAATGCTAAGAACAGAAGCCAAACTGGAGAGAATCAAGGATCGAATAGGAAGTAAAAAAGTAAAGAAAGAAAAAAATAAAAACCCTATTTTGAAAACATTGGCTGGAAAGGGAAGAGGAATTCAAGAAAGAAGGTGATAATAAGAGAAAAAGTCAAAGAACAGCAAAATGTTCCTTTAATAAGCAAGTAGTGACAAGCCAGGGGAGCAGTCTCAGGTGTGAAGGGAGAAGGATGACTATATGCTCAGGTAAAGATACTTAAATTACACTACTATTATTTTCTCCATTTTTACCCCTTCTTTAATTTTGCTCCCTGGGAAATTAGCACTTTCCACAAAGTACTTCTCAACAGATATAAATACTGCATTGATTAAACCCACAATGAGAACTTTTTAGTGGTTCATAGACCAAATTCCTACTATATTCACCTATATATAATATATAAGGCAGGGTTTGTCAACTTTTTTTGTAAAGGTCCAGAAAATAAATATTCTAGAATTTGCAAAAAAGTTTTTTGGGCCAAACTGTCTCTTTCGTAACTAATTAACTTTGCTTTTGCTATAGACAATACCTACAAGAAAGGTCATGGCTGTGTTCCAATAAAATTTTATTTACAAAAACAGGAGGCAAGCCAGATTTGGCCCAAAAGTATTAGTTTTCTGACCCTGTATTTAAAGGAATTTACCGCATTTCCTATTTGAGGATGGAAAAATATAAGTCAAATTCTACTGCCCAGTTTTTTGTTTATTTTTTACAGACAGAGGAAAAACCTTGCTGAATTCACCACCTTTTATAAGATTAAGAGAATTCACAGCAATGATAAATTCTAAGTGTTTTTCTTCTCTAACAAAATGATGAAAACACTATATTTAACATTCTTATAATCCTTTATAGAATAGGTAGCTTTCTTATCAAAATAAAAAATATTTCAAGTAAAACAAAATATCCGAGACAGTATAATCTCACTGCAGACTGGCAGCTAGGGAAAAGGATAAAATTATTTACTAAAACCCTATTATAACGAGATACTTTATACAAATTTTACCTTATGATTGTAATATTATGCCAAATAGTGTGCTTATTTAGAGGCTCTTTAAATCCTAACATTATTGAAGTTTTCTGAAATTTCATCTCACCGATACAGATTGCTAAATATAAAAGAATAATATAACAAAACAACAATCAACTAATTGCTAAGAGTATGTTTGGACCCAGATTTTTCTACGGAAATCATTTCACACTTTGGACTGGCCTAACATGTAAGCAATACAAGTCCTAACACAAACTCATAGAAAATAAAATGGTAATTGAATCATACTAATCTTTCATTTCATTAATACTGCAAATTAAACATGGACCAACTTTTACAAAAATGTATTTTCTAATATATTTGTAATTACTTCTTAGGGACATTTTATAAATAATGATTTTTATAAATCATTATTTAATTATTCACACAATTTCCAGATTTAAGAGAAGCAGTATTATTTTCCACCACCAAACTTGCTCTTTTTCTTAGACTGTACTAACTAAAAATGATTTTCCTCAATAAATTTATTAACATTAGATGTACAGTTTAAAATAACAAAACTGATTATTCTTATGTGCATGTTCTCAATAGATGAGAACAAAAAAAAAAACAATTACATTGATAGCTGGAATAGTAGAAATTGCAAATTACTCTATATTTAAAATTGAGATTTAGTCTAAGAACACTATAAACATCTTTATATAGCATAGTAATACCTCTTTCCATAATATGCGATGGCTTTTAAAGATATAATATATCTTCATATCTAGTTATTTAATAATGTTTCTTTAAAGAATCTTATGAATCTGAAAAGATGCCTGGTGACATTATTGCTATAGCAAAGGAATAAAGACAGCATTCCTCCTGATTTTCATAACCAATAAATTACTTAAATTTTCAATTATAACAAGAAAACCTTCTCCTTAGTTTTTCTTGAAAATACAATTCCACTTACTTCTAAATGAAAGAATACTTATAGAAATAGTATCAATCATCTGTGTGAGTAGAGAAAGGCTGGACATTACGCTATAAATATGCAAACTAAGTAGTTCTGTAAATAGGATGTCTAAATACAGGAAATAATACCCTTAATAATAATGCAAAAATATTAGAAAAGGATATAATAAAATAGTTTGTGTTATATAACTCCAAAAGATACTCTACTTTACTGATTTTTTTGAAAATAACTTAAACTTGAATATTTGAGGAAGTTATTTAATAAAAAAATTTTTGCAATTGATATCCTGGTGTGTGTGTGTGTGTGTGTGTGTGTGTGCGCGCGCGCACGTGCATGCACGCTATTTGTTGTGATTTCAGGGGTGTAGATAGGGAAGGTTTCCATCCATTTTACATAAACTGAGTCATTTCAAAGTCTTTTAAGACAGTTAAAACTATACATGTTAAATGTTGTTAGCATTTCCAGAAGCTTCTCTACATCAGAACTGTTTACCATTCAGACTGAAAGCAATCAAGAGTTCTGGTCATTCCCATTTTGATCAGGAAATTGCAGAGAAAGTCTTCTACTGCTTCAGGTATTGCATGTCTTGAAGGAAGAACTGTTTTCTGCTCCTGAAATTTAAATATGCAATTATTTATTTTGAAAACACCAATGCTTTGATTAATGGTACAGATAGGTCTCTCATCCATTCATTCATTCATTTCAACAGTTTTTGTTGAGTGCTATGTGCCAGGGATTATTTTAATCACTAGGGAAAACAAAATAGTTTCTTGCCTCATTTCTAATAGTCAAGTGGATGCAGACAGAATATGAACAGCTAAATAAAAAATATATAGTATGGCAGATGGTACCAAGTGCCTTGCGGAAGGGGAGAGGAGGGAGAAGCAGAGGATTGAAGATAGGGAGAGCCAGGGACAGAGCACATAAATATGTGGAGCTGGGTTGCTATGTACGTAGAGCAGTGGAGGAATATTTCATCGATAAAGTGCAATTTGAGCACAAATCTAGATGAACAGGTAGAGTGACTCATATTCCAGACATACCATCAGCAAGTGTAAAAGCCCTGAGACGAGAGTGTGATTGGATTGTCTGAAGGACAATAAGGAGGTCAGCTTGCCCCTTCACTAGCATATAACAAATTTTAAAAAGAAAAAATGTATGAACCTTTTAACTCCTTTAAACATCATTATAAAAAGAAATACAACAATTTTGGTACCTTGATTTTTAGAAACACTATGGAAAAATAATGTGTTATGGAAAGAGCTTGTTCTACTCTTCCATAATGGAAGTAAATAAGTCTATCAACTAGATGGGGGTCAGATAACAGTTCTTGTAAATAATGTTTATTAGAACGCAGCTATGCCCATTTGTTTACATAATGTCTATGACTGCTTTTGCACTATATGAGACAGTTGAACTAGTTGCCACAGAGACCTTGTGGCCCTCAAAATCAAAAAATATTTACTATTTTGACAGAAAAAAATTGCAGTCTTCTAAACTAGAAAAATTGAGATTTTCAGCAAATGACATAGGAAATTAGCATAGCCATAAAACTACCATACCATATAAGTCGTTGTGCAAAATAAATCAAATAATGGGTAGGTTCTTAAAAATATCAAAGCATCATTGTCTCTCTAGTTCTTTCATTTTCTTTGCATTGGCAAGAACTCACTAATTTATCTGCTGATCATTTGGATAATCAGATATATTTTCACCAACAGAAACTTGGCAGCAGTCTTTCCTTCCTACTTCTTTTTCCTAACTTTGGAATGGTTATGTACCAGATTATAAAGAATGCACAAGATGCTTACATAAAGATGCACTGAGGAAAAAGGATCTCTGTTTCCTCAAATAGTTGTTTTCAAAAGTTCTATACATAACTTAACACTGATGTTCATTACCAGTAGTTGCTATGATGTTCATAATAGTGATGGGCTGAGGCAGATTTGGGGATACAGAAAAATTCTGACAAATGTGCAGGGTCTTAAAATGATTTTTTTAATCATCAAGTAGAATAATTTGGACTATTCTTCCTAAGATCATTAAAAAGATGATATAACAAAGTGCATGACCCTATATCAAATATCGTGAGAGATGCCGATGTTGCAGGGTATAGCATGCCTGCCTTCAAGTCTTTACAGTGTGGGTGTTACTATGTATAATTATGATTATACATAATTGTTCAGTGAAGGCATAATATAGCTAAAAATAAACATTTATTTTATGATAATAAATGCTACCTTGGCTTTTTTGGTCAATAAATTTGAAAATGATACTGTAGGATGAGATGGACAATAGTTGAAAGGAATTTAGAAAGCAGGAGGAGGACAGACAGAATGAAGGGAGTGTACCTACTCTAGTTTCTAAAGATACCTATGTGCTTCTTATAGGATGTTTGTATGTATGGTTGCAATACACATGGTAGATTCCTGCCCTCTCAAATAAATGTCTTCATTCTATCTCTTCCTGAACATGTCTGATGCACACACCTTGAAACATTCACAAGGAACAGAAATAAAACCACCTTAAACTTCTATGGTTCTTACATAAACATTAAGATATATAATCCTATCAATACACATATGCCTTAATCTACAGTCCTTCTGCATTTGTACATAACACACACACATATACACATATTACACACACATGCATACACACATATTCCAAGCTGTAATGTGATCATAAACGTCTCTTCTATCTTTACATACGATATTAATTCAACACATATTTGGTGAATACCTTCCATGTGCCAGGCACTGCCAAAGGCACTAGGTATCAAATATAAATAAGACAGAGTCCTGTGTCAAGGTATTGAAAGTCTAGTTGAGTCAAAAGCAAAACTCTACAATACAGAAGTTGTATTGTAGTGTTGAGTAAAAAGCAAAACACTACAATACAGAAGCTCTTCTATTTGTGATGTTAGGTTACAAAAACCTGTTCATAAATTTACAAAGACATGATACAAACAACCAATATGTACATTTATGTAATTTGAGATGAACTTTTATCTCAATTATACATTATATACAACTTTCACTCTGTTCTTGTAACTAACTTAATTATGAGGTTAATAAAACACCTCAGAATAAGCACCAATAAAGCAAGCATTCAACAAGGTACCTAAATGTGCCCCACTTGCTGAATTATAAAAAAATACTCTACCCACATGTGATCCAGAGATCTGCTGAGGACAAACAGAAGTGACTCTAGCACATGACTTTGTTTTATCTATGAAAATTCTAAGGTTGACATATCTAAGTAGAGAGGTTTCTATATTGTGTTATGATTGCAACATAGATCTGCTACATAAAGTGATGCATAAAGGAGAAGAGTATTCAGTGGGTTTTGATAGGAGAACACAGGCTTTGTTAAGGAGACTCCTAAATTGGAATTTATAGAGGATGAGAAAGTTCAACAGCTAAAGAAGAACAGAAGGAAATTCTAGGCAAGGAAAATATCTGAGGCAAAGACAAGGAATGACAGTTCAGTACATTTGGGTTCAGAGTCTTATGGAAAAAGGGCCAAAGATAAGGTTGAAAAGCCAGACAGGAAGCATATCAAGAAGGCAAAGGCAGGAGAAAGCATGTAGACATTGGGAATTTAAGTAGAGAAGAGATCAATTCAAATTTTCATTTATAAACTTTTTAGGTTAGAGTTGAAGGAAGCACCGTACCAGCAGCATGCTAGCTCAGATGACAGAGGAAAGAAGGTGGACCTAAGGTAGACTAAGCGAGGGATGAAGGTGAGAAGGATATGAGAGATGTTGAGGACAGAAAAACTTACAGGATTTAAGAACTAATTGAGTATTGAACTGCACATTTGATATACTTTGAACTGTTCCATAGTCAATGTGTTCCTTGGAAAACGGTTGTTAACTAGTAAGAAAAGAAAATAAACACTAAAATCCAAGTGGTCTTCAACATAAACCTTATTTTATTTGGAATTTCATTTCATCGACTCCTTAATTTACATTAAGTCAAATATACTGGTTTGGATAATCTATGTGCAAGGCTTTGGGCACAAGGAGTCTGATTCCTTAACTGAAATTAACTGTGTACATCAAGAGACTGGGAACTCAACAATGACAAACAGCTATTTTTACTGTGAGTAATTGAGCCTATAAAAGTAATGAAAATTGTCATTATGAAATGTAAGATTTTAAACTCAACGGCACTGATCCCTCATAAGATCAAGATCTAAATAAAGTTATACAAATTTATTAATCCCAGCTTTACTAATCCTACTTTTTTGTTATACCAACGTAATTCTTAGCAAGAAAATTATTCTATTTTAATACTTAATGAATATATTTTTTAAAATATCTCAGTATACAATTCTATAAAACTTCTCAAACTTTATGTTCTCAGAACACATTTATTTATTTATTTATTTATTTATTTATTTATTTATTTATTTTAGTTTTATCAATATACAAGTTGATTTTTGTGTCCCTTTACTGATTCCTCCCTCCCTCCTCCCACCCACCAACATGTATCTGTTCACTTGTGTTAACAAGTTCAAGGAATTGTACAACAATCAGAACACTTTTATACTCTTAAAAATTATTCAAGATTCCAGAAAGCTTTTGTTTATGTGGGTGATATGTATTAAGAGTCACCATATTAAAAATGAAATTTTAAAATATTTATTTACTTTAAAATAACTATAATAGAACTTTTACATGGTAACACAGATTAACATACTTTCATGAAAAATAACCACATTTTCCAAAACAGAAAAAAATAGTGGGAAGAGTGACACTGTTACAAACTTTTGCAAATCATTTTCATGTCCAGAGGAAACAGCTGGATCCCCATCTTTGCTTCTGCATTCAAACAGTTGTGATAGGTTGCCTTGGTTGAGCTATATGAAGAAAATCCAACATCAGGAAGATATGTAGTTGAAAACTGGAGGACAACATAAACCCCCTGAAAACGGTACTGGGGGCCCCCGAAGGACCTCCAACAGTACTTTGAGAACTACTGATAAATGTAGTAAACAACATTGTAGCTTGGGCTGGTTATCGGTTGTTCTCCAAAATTACTTGAATAGTCCAAAGAAATGCCTTAAATTCTACTTAAATTCTCAGAGGAGGAGAAGGCATAAGAGGAAGGGGAGGAGGAGGAAAAATGTGAGGAAATTTAAGTTATATGATGTGAGTGCCTTGCTACTCTTATTTTTAAAGATCAAAATTCTAATTTTATATAAATTGGAAATCATTATAGAATGATAGCCATACCTTTGTAGATTACACCTCAAAAATTAACAAAGCAAAAAGCAAGAACCAAAGAGGCTGAAGAATTACAAAAAAAAATGCAATAATACACTTAGAAAAAGGCTTACAGTTTAGAAGGGAAAACTCAGCTTAGATATAAGTAGACCTTCCATACAAATACCTCTAAGGAATATATATGTGTGTGTGGGGGGGTATGTGTTTGTGTATATATGTGTGTGTGTGTATATATATTCGTATCTCTACTTATGTTTATACTTGGAAAAGACTTCAGTTTCAAGAAAGAATTGATGACATAACTAAACTACATGTTATAGATTAATAACATTTCCTATCTTCTAAATTTTTTTCAAGAATCACTTTACATATAATGAAAATATCTTTTACTCAGAATTCAGACAATTGCACATGCTAAGAAACTGATAATGTACCAAACACACAGTTAAAATGGTTTATAAAATAAACCATGCAGTCAATTCTCAAATTGTTAATCTATATTACTAAGGTTTAAAGAAAATCATAAGAACTTATTTAAATGTCAACTATTCAATAAGTAGTCTTTGTAATTTTATAATAAATAAGACTACTCACATTATTTCTATTTAACTTTCCTATGAGTATGATCACCTTTTACCTGAAGTCTTTAATGAAAATTTTAACTCTTCATTGCATAGGGACTACTGCATCCTCTAACATGGAAGGAAATATATCTAGTTTATAAACAAATGTAGTAAGATCATAACAAAAGAAAATTGATTTCATAAACATTAAATATCCTTTAAAACAGAAAGCCCATGACATAATTCAAAACTAGTATTTGAAGACTAAAATACTATAGAAATATGGGGCCGGCCCGGTGGCACACTGGAGCGCGGCGGCGCTCCCGCCGAGGGTTCGAATCCCACATACAGACCGGTTCCCGCTCACTGGCTGAGCGAGGTGCGGGCGCGGTCCTGGTCCGGTACGGGCGCAACACTGAGGGTTGCGATCCGTTGCCGGACACGAAAAAAAGAGACAAAAAGGAAAAAAAAAAAAATACTATAGAAATAAAAAGCAAGTTAAAAAAATAACTGATATGCTTTTGAAAAAATGAATCTATATTTATTTTAACAGTTTAAAAGCAAATATTGTGGATTTTCTGCCCAGCACTGTTTCTCCAAAGAACTCAAAAACCAGGTAAAGAATGTAAATGAGTCAACCAGCTACAAATATGCCAGAAGTCTAGAAAGTTAATTCTTGTAAAATTCTGATTTTAAAAAGCTTCTGAAAAAATAATGAAGAATTACTGATATTTGGCTCAGCAGATATGGCACTTACTACATTGTATTTCTTCCCCAATTTTGATTCATCTTTGCATTTGCAAACAACTTCTAGCATGATACCAGATACAAAGAAGCAATTATAGTTTGGTTCATAATTTTTTCATCCAAGGATTCATTTATTCATTCACTTACTAAACTGCTATTAATTTAGTACCTACTATGTGCCAAGCACTGGTAGGCATATCTACTTTACCAAACACCAATACAAACAAGTTGTACATAAAGTATTTTTTAAAATCCTTTTTAAAGATGTAAAGCAAAATGCAGGATAAGGAGCAGTAAATAAACATATCAGTCGCACTTCATTCAAAATGCTACATTTTAAAATTATTTCTATAAATTATTGCATTGAGATATCCAACAGACTAAAAGTCTGTATAGCACTTTGTGTCTAAATAGAAGGAACTATATCCATAGGATACATTAGAGAACACAGTTTACTATGAGCTGAAGCCCTCCACTTATAACCAGAATGGTGTCAATTCCGGCTTCATAAAAAAATTTCCTATTGAACTTTTTTTTTAATTTTGAGTGGACAGATATTTTGGAAAGGAGTTACTGGATTACTAGACTGAGAAAGTCTGCAAAATGAGAAAAGACTGGCAGAGAACATAATATGGGATGACGTCTCACGTATTATTTTGCACAGAAGTCAAATTTGCAACTAAATAAGAGTAACAAATTTCCTTCACATTTCTCAATAGGAAAAGCTTATTCAATGAAAAAAGCATCCTTCTTAATTAATGCTGGTATGAAAACAAAGTGATTTTTAAATATTTTTGCTGTCATCATTAAATTATTGCTATTTTTTAAATGAGTTTTCAATTGTATAGGAATGCCATCAGTTTTATGTATTTTTAATTGATACAACGACCAAAAAGCATCATCCCCCGTCATATTCCTTAACAAAAGTTCATAAGCCTCTCAAGAAAAAGTCATAATAATACTAAGCATTCCCTATAAGATGAATAATTCTATGAAAGAAAAAGACACAAAATGGTTTACAAAACAGATTGTAGAATCTGTATATAGAAATTCTTAACAAGTGCTGATAAATCCTTGGTTTAATCTGCAGTGAGATTAAACAAGCAGAGTTCTGAGGGAAGGTGTCACTTGTTACAACGTCATGCGAAAGTGACTATGATGTGGAGAATGACAATCCAAAAGAGAGTAAATACGACTGCTTACCTTAAGTGAAGCCTTGATGACAAATAAGAAATGAAAAAGACATAGCTGCTACATTTAGTATGTAAGGTAAAGTATTTAAAGTTTAAGTGACCTTCAAAACTTCATAGAAAACATATTACTGCTAAACTACAGGCCGCAACAGTGTTCAAAATTCTCACCAAAATTTGAGTATCTGTAGCCTGTTCTTGGACCATCTGAATTGCTTTTGCCAGATCTTCTTCACCTTCTGGAATGCTAAAATTGTCATCCGGTATCTAGATCACAGAGAAAAAGGATAGGAATAATGAGGAGAAATATAAAGTACCTTATTTCATTTCAGAAATAATTGCTCTTCACAAAGCAAAAGATCAAAGAAATACACTATTTAAGATACCATGTCATTCTGAAGAGCTAAGAAAAATGGATAACTAACAAGCAGGCAGCTTTTTGACTTCCTTGCAAACATCACTCAATGTCACTTCTAATAAACTCAAGATTAGTTTATAGGCAACTGCTTTTATCTATAATGGCAAATGTAGTCTAACAATTCTGCTGAGAAAAAAGTCAGACTATCTAAATGCCACCATTCTCTCCCTGTCCCAGGTTTTCTCCACCATTACTTTTTCATAACTACAAGCAACCAAAATCTCTAGTTTATTAATAAAACAAAACTCACTGTCTGAGAGTTAATATTTTGGAAGAATGCAATGGATTGTAATTGTGATATTAATGATAGTTAACATTATGTGCTGATCAATATTTTAAGCCCTTCACATGTATTAACTCATTCAGTAACTGCATGTGGTACATATTATTTCCATTTTATCAGCAGTAATAAAAAGCCTGTCTCCTATGTTTTTCCTGTCTCTTGCTCACCAAGGCCACAAATTGTCAGGCTTGCTCCCACACAGTTTTATTCACAACTTCTGTCATGTAGGAGTGGCTTTATCCTCTAAGCCTCAGAAGTAATGATAGCTCTCATGGAAACAATCAATTAAAGGAAAGCCTTTGAAACAGAAACCACATTAGACCGAAGCACAGTTAAGCTTGAAGGAAGCATGAGGCCTAAGCCCAACTAGGTAGTGGGAATCTGGAAATCTCTGCCAAGAACAAACTAGATGATGGCAGAGAAAGTCTATGGTATGGATCCACAATGTAGGAGATAAGGCGCTGCATCTGCAGGACAAGCAACAGGAAAACCAAAAGAGCTAGACGTACTCTCCAATCTAAATGTTTAATCTAAATGTTTAACATCTCACTCTTAATCAGCTGATATTAGCTAAATTCAGTGAAAACTAGTATCTTTAAAGGGAAGAAAAAATTTGCTTACATGTTTCAGAAAACAAAATGAATATTTCATGAGAATGACTGCAATAAATTTACAGAATACCTAAAATTTACAAATTACCTCTTCATATTCATAATCATCTTCAGATGCTTCAGTTATGGTGACCTCTGGATATCTTGTCAAGATTTAATATCAAAAAATATGAAATAAAATTATTACTTTTAAAATCTATCTAACCTTAAAATACAATATTGAATCCAATTATCTCACCAGGAAGTTGGTAAAATTTTTCTTCCTCATATAGCCTACAAACCTGGATATTTTAAAATTAAATATTTTAATTAGTATTTTTAATTATTGTTTTACACAACTCAAATCTGTGAAAAACTACATTTCTGTGTACTATCTATTTCCAACTTGATTCTAAGAAGGCTTACAAAAATATACATAGTATCATAAGTTAACATAAATTAGAAAGAGATAAAACAGTAAACCTTTCAAATTTATTTTAAACCACATTAAATTTTCTAGAGTTCCTGACTCAACTATTCACAATGCAATGCCACTTTGTTTCATAGTATTGGGAATAAACAAAACAAAAAGCACACCAATATTTAAATGTAAGTGATCAACACATTTTAATGTTTTCATTAATAAAATCTAATTAAATCTCTACTTTTTTCTTATATATTTCAATTTATAATTTAAATTTTCCTTATAAGAAAGGTAGCCTATTTTTTAAGCAAATATATACTATATAACAATCATAATTAAATATTTCATAAATATTCGAGAAATTAAAAATCAGTAGAAATGATTCTAAAAAAAAGAATTCTAAGAGCATTGCTGTAAGACTTTCAAATATTGCAGGATTACTCTAATTATAAATAAAAACTTCAACATAACATTTCACATTAAAAGAAAATCACAACACACACACCAGTAATGCTTTTTTTTTTTTTTTTTTTTTGCTGGGAGGTTTACATTTCTTTCAGTTATACTGACTTGGTTATGCCAAGTTTAAAAGATCTGAATTAAACACTTTAATACACAGTAATGCTTATAAAACTCAAAGATGAGATCTTTTTTTTTTTTTTTTTTTTGGCTGGTAGGTTTACATTTCTTTCAGTTATACTGACTTGGTTATGCCAAGTTTAAAAGATCTGAATTAAACACTTTAATACACAGTAATGCTTATAAAACTCAAAGATGAGATTGGTCCATTTTTCATTTTGCTGCTGGTTACAAGAAATTGTTACTTTATCTTCCAAGAGTGAGCTAAAAGTGCATATGACAACTTCTGTTGTTTGTAACAAGGATAGATAATACTTACGTAATACTTAGTAGGAGCCAGGCACTGTTCTAAGTTTTCCATGTATTAAATCAGTTCATCCTCACCCTGCCTATGAGGCTACAACTATTGATATCTACATTTTACAAATCAGGAGTAAGAGGCATAGCCTCCACAGCAGGCACCTAATAGAGCTGAGAATCAGCCCTAGAAGTTCAGGCTTCACTATGTTATACTGCCTCTCCATATTCCATACTATATAAATATTTGAAGTGTTTGCCAATTATCTCCCGCAGAGTTCTAAACCTCGAAATGTATTCTTGCTACTCAGCTCCATCATAAGTAATCACTCTTTGCTGTTTGCCTTCTCCTTATTACTTGCAGGAGACACTTAAAGCCTAGTTCAGTTATGACCAATCCTCAGATACCAGATACCTGTCAAAAGGCAAGAACTTTATTGTCAAGCATGAGAGTCTCTTCCAATGATATGGTGAAAAGTAACTAGATTCAAAAATAGCTAGTAAAAACATTAAGCAACACCCACACAAAAATAGTTGCACATCTGCAGTGTATCCCATAACCTTAATTCACCCCTATTAAGTACCTACTTGTATTAATTTATCTTATTGCTGCAGAACAGAATCCAATAGCATTTGCCGCACTCTCTTTCAATCCCTGTCAGCAGCCACCTTAAAGACCACCAGACTTCTACTAGAAATCCACTCAAGGTATTTTACCTTTCACTAACACCCAACTTAAAGTACTTCCAACATCTAACCAATGCCCAGTTCCAAAGTCACTCTGATATTTAAAATACTTCTTACGTTAGTATCATGTTAGCAGTACCCCCCACCAGGTACCAAAATCTGTATTTGTTATTTATTGCTGCATAACAAACTCCCCAAAACTTAGGGCTTAAAAGAACAATGAGCTGCCATTTGTGACTACATGGATGAACCTGGAGGATATTATGGTAAGTGAAATAAGTCAGACACAGAAAGACAAATATTTCATGATCTCACTTAGATACGGAATCTGAAACACAACTCACAGAAACAGTAGAAGGATGGTTACCAGGGGTAGAGAGGTAGGGGAAACTGGGAGGTGTTGATCAAAAGGCACAAAATTCCAGTTATAAGATGAATAAGTTCTGGAGACCTAATGTTCAGCATAGTTACTATAGTTAATAATAATGTATTGAATATTTGAAATGTGCAAAGAGAGTAGATGTTAAGTATTCTCACCACCAAAAAAAAAAAAAAAAGGTAACTATGTAAGGTGAATATATTAATTAGCTTGATTGTGGTAATCACTTCATAATGCATATGTATATCAAAACATCACATTGTACACCTTGAATATATGCAATTTTTAGTTGTCAATTACAACTCAATAAAGTTGAAAAAAGGAACAATAAGCTCGTATTCTCACATAGTATTTGTGGATCAAGAATGCAGTACTGGTGTAGCTGCCGGATTTTAACTTGAGGTCTCTCATTAGGTCACAGTCAAATGACAACAAGGTCACAGTCACCTGAAGGTGGAGCCAAGGCGGCAGGATCCACTTCCAAGATGGTTCACTGACACTATACTAGTCATTGGCTGGAGGCCTCAGTTTCTTCCCATGTGGGTCTTTCCACAGGCTGCGTGAGCATCCTCAAGATACAGAGGGTGGCTACCCCCAGAATTAGCAGTCCAAGAGAACACGGTAGAAGTCACAATATCTTTCATGACCAAGCCTCAAAAGTCACATATCACTTCTTCAATATCATATTGGTTACACAAAGCAAATCTATTCAGTATATGAGCACTACACAAGAGCATAAATAACAGGAGGTGGGGATCTCTGGGTTTCAAGAGCATTATAAAAATTAATATATGTAAAGCATTTAGAATGGTGTCTGGCTCAAAGTAAGTGTTACACAAGTGTTTGTGGTTATCTTCCTCATGGAAAGAGACAAGTATCTCAGAGAAGTCTCAAAAGTCCCCCATACCCCAATTTCCTTATGAATGGATTAATAAAAAACATTCTAAACTTCCCTCCAGCTCTAGATTTATATTTTTCTGATACATTTTTACTTAATGAGATAAAATTTCCTGAAGTTCAGCTAGAAGAAGTCAGCCTTTTTTCTATGGAAAAGTATGCCACCTTCCAAGAGAAAGTTACTAGAAGGTGATTTTGTAAGTAGTCACTTATCTTTAAGTCTCCAGAAAAGCAATTCCATCCTTCATCATGTTGATACCATAATAAATTTCAAAAGGAAGTAAATGTACTAAAATCATCAGGACAGACTAAAATTGTAAATAAGCCAACCACTGACAAGGTTATACGAGGAAAAGATGTCACACGTAGGTTGTTAAACACAACAATATAGAGAAAAAAAAAAGTGATTTGTCCTCAAAGCACTGAAAAAAACAACACTTGTATACTCCTACCCAGCCAATATTCTAGGCAACAACTTTTAATAACTAATAATATATTGTTTACCCATAATCGAAAAAGATTAAGAGAAAAAATAACCACCGTTTTATAAAGCTTCCAAGTATTTTCACATGGACCTTAACCATATTTATTCTCACAACAACCCTGTGAGATTAAATGACACAGATATAGTCATCTCTAAATCGAAAATAAAGGAACTGAATCAGGAAGAGTAAGAGATTTGCCCAAGATCGCACAGCTATCAGTGACAAAGACAAGTTTCTTGAATACAATCATCATGAATTTTCTACTACACCATATTGTTTCTACAGTGACACAATAGGAATATTAAATGTTTTATCAATATCCTAGGTAATAAACTCACCTATTTTTCCAAATTCTCAAGTGTGACATCACCAACAGCTAAATCAAATTACTTAAATAGCTCAATTTGAAGACCCCAGAGGAAGGAGACGTATAAAAGAACTACAGGCTATAGACCCCAAAATAAATTTAACCAACAGCAAAAGATCAATGCGACAAAAGGTCAGGTGGAAGACAAAATACCCAAAATAGGAACAGGTATCCTCTTTAGTATCAACTCTTTTTAAGTATCCACAATATTACTCGTTACCAAAAATCTGTATGCAGGGGTCTTCGAAGTGTTCATGGAAAGATTTATCTTATCTTTTAATTCCATTTTTCTGTGAACTTTTGGAAGTACCCTCATAAGTTTGTATGCACCTGTCTATCTGGCTAGCAGTAGCTAGCAACACACGGACAAATGCAAAAAGTAATCATAAAGTGATTCTGTGGCAGTTTACAAATATGCACATTGTACAAAATATAATAATAAATGAATGTGGAAATTGAAGGAAAAAGGAAAATAGTATAGTAATATAAAGGTAAAGATAAATAACGTAAAGGTAAACATGCCATAGGTCTCGTGAGCTTTGTTAAACATAAGACACAGATTTGACTCAAAGCTTCCCAGCAGTCAAAGAGGGGAATGTAATCAGTATCCACCCAATAAAAACAGTTCAGTATCTACCCAATAAAATCAGATGAGCTTCTCAGGAGATGTACAGCAACCTCTGGTTGCAAAGCCTGAGAGAAATTAAACTCTCGGGTTCTCAAAAAGAGAATACTGTGTACTATACAGATACTGATCCCCTCAGCCCTTGAGACAACCAAAAAAGTAAAGTAGGATCTGATGGAGCACAGTATGTGAAAAAGTTTGGAAAGCACTGCTTTGAACAGAAATCTTGACAGACTAGAAAAGGCCAAGTCATCAAGAATTGTTGGAAAGATAAAACCCTTTACTCTCTTTCCAGTTTTACTGAATAATTTTCTCATCTGTAATTTAATGTCTTAGGTAATACTACTCTTCAGGCAACATCCATACAACTAAGCTAGTCACAGTTCTCATGCAAAGTTATTTTTCCACTGGGATAA